TTAAGGGTATAAAGTGTAATAAACACTATCGATATTTGTTCAATTTACTTTTTGGGTTTGGTTTCTCTCTAGTTGGACATTTCAATTTGAGAGAGTGTTTGGGCTTAGTAGGTCTATTTTGGGACCGATTTCGGTGATGCAAACCCTTCACTTTATAGGATTCACTGAGTAGAATATTTATACAAAAAATAAGATGATCGGACATTAGTAACTATATATTTAGATTAAATTTGTATTGCGAAAAATGAATGACTATTTTTGAAATTATAACATTCGATGTCCAATTATTTTAATTTTTTACATGAATATTGTGTTCAATTAGTCGTAAAAAGTGAATGGTTTAAATCACCGAAATCAGTTCCAAAATGGACATACCAAATCTAAACACTCTCAATTTGATATTATAATTTAAGTGAAACCGAACCCTTATTTTTTTTTAGGGCAAATTACATATACACCCCTCGAGGTTTGACTAAATTACAGATACCCCCCTGAGGTTTCAGAAATTACATCCCGCCCCCTGAGGTTTGTATTTTCATAACAATTTGCCCCCTGAGGTTTATATTTCATAACAAATTACCCCCTAATTTCTTATGCAAATATAGCATTCAGGGGGGAATTCGTAATTTCTCAAACCTCAGGGGGGCATCTGTAATTTAGCCAAACCTCGAGGGGTGTATATGTAATTTGCCCTTTTTTTTTATTATTATGAATAGTGGACCCGACATGCTCCCCCAAAACAAATGGTTGAAATTATCAAAAACAAACTAAAAGAATTGAACAATGCTTGAGATACTATAAATATTATTACAAGTTTTAGGATAAATTATAAATATAATTTTTTGAGATTTGTTTAAAATACGAATTGTGTTTTGTGATTTGAAAAATTACAAATAACTCATTATCAAAATTTTTTATTTAATAAAATTAACTGAAAAAATAAAATTAATACATGCTCTCCTATACAATAATAAAATTACATGAATTATTAATTAAAATAAATTTATGACATTATTAAAAATTATTAATTAACTTGATAATTTATTGGATCATTTGTTATGAAATTATAAATTTATGGAGCGTGATATAATTTTTAAAATTATAGAGAACAAATCATATTTTGAACAAACTTTTATAATATATTTATAATTTGTTTTCAATTTTATCAAATACTCATATAAACGTGACACCCATGAACGTAAGTATTTGATAATTTTTTTAATAAAATATTTAACGACTCACATTTAAACAAAAAAAAAAAAAAAAAAAAAAACAAAACAAAAAAAAAAAGAAGAGCATAATGAATTGAATTAACATTGCTTCATTTTATTTATAAATGGACACTAACACTTTTATTTTTTAAAAATCTAACATAAAAGTGATGAATGTTATAATTTTAATAACTAATCATTTGAAAATCATCTAAACTTATACCAAAAGTATTAAATAATGAAAAATATTTGAAACTTTTATAAATTTTTCATAATTCAACTTAGAGGCTTTTTGACCAACACCAAAAAAAGTCAATTTTTTAGGTTCCGTTTGGCAAGCATCTCAAAATATAGTTTCACCTATTGATTTGAGTATGTTGTTTGTTTAGAGTTTTTAAATCATAATTTTACACCCATTTCTCAAAACTCAATTCAAAACATAATTATTATTTTTCAAAACTCATAACCAAACACATAATTCAAAACTCTTTTCAAAATTCAATTCAAATCAATATTTTAATTTTTTAAATATTTTAAAAATTTAAAAATATTTTAATTTTGTGAGAGACAGACAAAGAAGAGAGATAGAGAGAGAGAGACAGAGATAGAGTGATGAGCGAGAGAGAGAGAGATAGACAAAGTGGTTGCTAAAAGTGTATTTTCTTATAGTGGATCGATAAATCGAGAAGGAGCTCGATAAATAGAGAAGATGGGAGTAAGAGAGTGAACAAGGCGAACATAGTGAGGGAGAAATAGACAAATAGACAAGTAGACAGAGAGAGAGTGAGA